TCCCACGAAGCAGGCCACACCTACAGAAGAGGTTCTACATTTTTTTGAAACCCACCACTGTCTTGAACTTTCAACTGGGTGAAAGCTTTCAGATTTGGGTTTCCCACAGATGTACCAACATGTCTCTCTTATTAAATTGGAACTTTGATGAAAACTCTGCCTTGGACTCTGATTTAATTCGGGATGATATTTGCAACAGTCCACAGGTTTTAAATTTGCCAAGGTTGGATATCCCTGCATATCAGAGAATCCCTCTCCCCACTCCCTCAAAAAGGGTCTGAGACAGGGGTGGGTTCCTACTGGTTCAGACCGGTTTGACTGAATAGGTAGTAACTGCCAGTTCCAGCAACTGGGTTGCTGGAACTGGCAGTGACGCAGGCCTGCCACGCCCCCGAACTGGTTCTCCTACAATGGCGCCATCTTGATTTTCAGTTCTGTGCATGTGCAGGAAAATTTTCATTGCAGAAATGTATTTGTTTCCCTTTTTTAACATTTTGCACATGCACAAACATTTTTAGGTGCAAATGCGCACAAAACAAAGCGAGCACGCATGCGCGCAAACATTTTTTACGTGCCAAACCAGCAGTCATGCCAGCAGCAACCCACCCCTGGTCTGAGAGTTTGTGCCCTTGTGAAATTTATCGATTTCATCCCTCCCACCAGGAGAAGGATTTCTCATCCAGGTGGGTTTTCTACATTCTGAACATACACGCTGCCTTTTTATCCCAGTTCTTTCAAACTCTTTTGATTCTGCATATTTTGGTGCTTTTCAAGCCAATTAAAGACACTTGTGAGAACAAGCAACGCGTGATTTCTGAATTCCTCACTTAGCTGTCTTGGGAAATTTCCGCTTCATCACTCATCATCAGTCAGCGGAGTCTGGAGACGGTCCCATCTATAATTTCCTCCCTGGATCCTAGTTCTATGTGCCCAATGGTTTTGCATCCTCTTCATAATGAAACTGTGTCACTGCCTTCGCTCATTTCATTGAAAGAAGCACCCAGTTCTGCGACTTCTCTGCTGCCTCCGTCGGTATAAATCTCAGCCATCAACTTTTAACATTCTAATTACAGGACTCTAAACAGTTATGCTTAGTCGATCATCATCCCACCTCCGAGCTTCACTTTTTCAGTTCTTTTTGTCATTTTGTAGGGAAATGGAGGTACCTTAATATCTCTTTTCATGTAAACTCTTCCCCTTCTACTTCTTTTTTTTTTTTTTTTGAAAAAGAAATTGCTGCAGCATGATGTCACTGCTTGGGTTTTCTTGGAGAGGATAGGAAACTGTACCGGACTTGTCAATTCACCTGAAAGCTTTCTCGGCATGAGCCAACTAACGGGTCCAAATCAGGAGACACCTCCAAAAGATTGTACTCAAGCTACAATCACTGGGAGGTTTTGATGCTGCCAACGGCTCCCTGGCTATTCATAAAGGACCACACTTCCGTTTCCCCACACACCTGCAAATGCTGTGGAGGTGATGTGCTTTATCCGGGAGCGAATGCATAAAGGCCGATGCACTGCTGTGAAAGCTTTTGAACGGAGAAGGAGCTGCATGAATTTCTTTATGGAGAATTGCACACGGCATTTTTCTCGAAATGTAATGGGGAGCAGTGAGGTGGTTCGATGTGAAGAATGAACAGTGAGGTCCTTAGAATTGCACAGGTATAAAAGAGACCTTGAAATGTTGCTACAGTTCTAGGTCAAGATGTTTTTCCGCGGCAAGATTGGCAGTGCTTAATGGAATTAACCTACTTAACTAAACTCATGGGCAGGGTCTCCATATAACCTAATACACCCAGACTAAAGAAAGCACATTGTCATTTTAATGTTGTGTGAATCCAGAGTCTATGTGAACCAGTCAATGCCATTTGTTGGATTTAGACCTGGCACCAGCAATAGCACTTAGACTTATATACCGCTCCACCCGTGTTTTACCGCAGGGGTTCCCAAGCCCTGGACCAGAACTGGTCCATGGCCTGTAGTAAACTGGGCTGCACAAGTAGTGTACGAGCATGCAATGTTTTATTTGTGCATGTGTAGGATTAGATTGCATTAGATCCTCTCTCCTCCCACTGCTGCCAATCCACAGACTCAAAACGTTTGGGGACTGTTGCTTTCAAGCCCTCTCTAAGCAGTTTACAGAGTCAGCATCTTTGCCCCCAACAATCTGGGTCCTCGTTTTACCGATCTCAGAAGGATGGAAGGCTGAGTCAACCTTGATCCAGTCAGGATCAAACTCCTGGCAGTGGGCAGAGTTAGCCTGCAATACTGCACATTCTAACCACTACGCCACCATGAACTTAATACATAAGTGTTCTGACCGCCCCCCCTCCATACGCCAAGGCACTCCAAGACAAGATTACTGCTAGACAATTTATTCACAGTAAATTAACACACTGACAAGACCTGGGCAGCAATCCAGACTTCCAAGATAGGAAATATACCCAAGAGCTTCTCCAGCTTTGGTATATTAGTTGAGTCCTGCAAACAGCCTCCTCCCAAAGTCTCTCCTTATATACTCTCTTGGGAGGAGCCTAATTACAACCACCTGGGTCCAATTATCTTCTGTATCTGCGTAGTTGCTCTTGGCGTTTATCTGCCTGCCTTTGTCTGGCGTCCGGGACCAACTCCCTTAGCTCCTCCCCACTTCTCCAAGGCCTGATGTCATGGGCAC